CTGGGCAAGTCACCTCATTTCTTTGACCTCAGTTACCTCATCTGCAAAATGGGGTTAATAATGGTACTTAGCTTTCAGGGCGGCTAGGAGGGTCCAATGAGATAATATAGGTATCTAAGGTGCTATAGAGATAGATAGGTATGTAGATAGATATAGACAGCTACAAATAGCGACAGATACATCTGTCTATCATATTACCTATCATCTCTCCATCTATTATCTAATTATCCATCTGTCCAGCTATCTATCATCTATATACCTGTCTATGCATCTGCATACATCTGTATGTATGTATGTACGTAGGTAGGTAGGCATGTATGTATGGTCTACACACATTTGTTATAATTAGTTTAGGTTTCCTGACTCCCAGGCTACGGCTGTTCCTGTAAGTGTGGGATCTGTAATTCCACCATTAGATACACTATACCATGATGCTTTTAATTTAGTGCTTGGAAGGGGCAAGCTTCCAAAGTACTTTTCTTTGGGTCCCTGTGGTTCTCCGTTCTCGCCCCTTAGAGAGTTTGCCATTGAAGCTTCTCAGTAAGAAGTCTAAGTTCACTTGTTCTGTTCAGGAGATTACCAAATGATATGACCCATCCTGGTCCCATTCTCTCTGATGCAGCACAAGGACAGGGCTAGCCAGATGAGGTCTGGAGTAGGAGAATGAGTAAATAGAAGAAACCCTGCCAGGCAGACAGGCACGGTCCAGAGCCCAGAATCCAGGAGATCAAAAATTCACCAAGAGCCTGGCTGGTCACCTCAGTGGTCTGAGAAGGTTGGCTCTGTAGCCACAAGGTTGCCTACCACAAGGACCCCTGTTCCTATGCTCCTTCCTGGGCGTGAGTAGACCATGGTCAGAAAGGGGTTCTGCCTGGCTAATTAAGGTGCCAACAGAGATTCAGGACTAAATGGAGTGAGGGAGGCCAGCCACGGGGCTGCCACACCCTGCCGGGCCTGAGAGGCTCTAAACTTACGGTCCTCATTTGAGAGACAATTCAGTGTAGAACCTTGTCCTCAGAGCCCCAGGGAGACCCTAGTTTGAGTCCTGATTAATGTATTCTGGACCTTGGACTAATGGAGAGAAAGGGAGGAATCCCGGAGACATTTCATGCAAAGGGTCTTTTTTCAGCTGGGGGCTCTGTAGTGGGGATTTACAGCTGGAAGGATCAAAGAAGGAAACTGCAGCTGATGGCAGCCCTGGTCCTCTGACTCCCAATGCCCCATTGTTTCCAGCGCCCCTCACTCCCTTCCTGCTCTGGCTCTCTGGTTCTCCCCCACTTTCCCCCTCTCTCCTCCCAACCCGTTTCTCATTCCGTCTCTGGCAGAGGCTGACACGCGGCGTTCTCCAAGCCTTGCCTGGGCCTGCAGGAATGTCTCCTGAGTGACCACATCTCCCCCTGGGAAATGCCGCAGCTGACTGGATCTGTCAGCTGGGGAGGCTGGGCTGCTCACTGAGCTCTGCCCACCAGCCCTGGGGAAAGGTTGTCACCAGGAAGAGATCTTTATCTCTGGAAAGGAAATCTCTCAGCAGAAGCAACCCCCTAGTTAGCTTGTCAATCAACCGAGTCATCCCCCAGGACCTCTGGCAGCACCGTGTCTATGACAGGTGCGGGCACGTCACAGAACAAAGGCGCTCCCCTTCTTATGTCGAGACCCTGCCATGTCCCGGGTCCAGCCTCCTCAGACTTCCCCTGCCAGCCCCTGCTCCAACGAGTGCTGCTTCCCACCTTGGTCTGAGCCTCAGCTGTCACCCGGGCTGCCTTCCAAAGTGGCCAGCCTTCCCTCCTAACCGGGCAAGAATCAGCCCCTCCCTTGGCTTCGCTGTCCCCAACTCAGCGGGCCTCCAGGGTCCTTCATGGACATCACTTTCCCTGGGAATTTCACTGTGGGGAGGGTGGGTGGCGGAGCTGTGAGAGAGAATCCTTTCATCTTGACAAAAAGCTGGTAAGTATTTGTAGTTGTTGTTATTGTTGGGGGGAGAGGATCCGCAGTAGCAAATGACCAGACAGTCTGGTCTCAGACAAAGTCAGCGGATGGAGGCGAGGATTTGCCAAGACAGAACGGACCATGCTTCCGTGGGGACTGGGCTTCTCTGGACTTGGGGAGCTGCTCCTCTGGAGACAGACGCGGCCTGCTAGGAAGAAGGCTTTTGTTTGCTTGGTTTTGTTTAAATTGGGCCTGTGATTTCATCGGCATGGCAGGCTCCTGGTAAGGACCTCCATCTACTGACGTATTAATCCCGGATTTTAAAGTCTTCACAAAAGGCCCTGGGGGCTACAGACAGGTTCACAGCCAGTTGGTGTCAGGACTTGACCTCAGGGCTCCTGATGTTGAAGTCAGACCTCTAGCCACTATAACAAGGTGCCCCTCAGAACAAATGGTGTTGGGGGTCAGATGATGTGTGTCAGGGGACTAAGGTAATGCAAGAAGACCATGGCAGGCGCCCAGGCTCAGGTCGGAGTTTCCAAAGGGGTCCTTTGGGAAGTGACAATCTGCAGGGTCTTTCCCAAGATCGTCCTTCAGCACCAGGCTGGAAAGAGCACTTGTCAGTGCCCGGACGGAGTCGGTGGTCCTCTTAGTGAGGCCGACAGGCTTGCCTGGGTCAGTCGCTGGCCAGCCCTATATCCACGATGGCCACAGAATCACCGAACGTCAGAGCTCTCGAAGGCTGCCATTTGCCTCTGAAGAAGGGCACCCTTGGACACCATCCCTGACAAGCCGGAAGCCAAGGAGAGCCCCCCACCTCCCAAGGTGACCATCCCTTCCTCTATGGGATCGGTCTAGTTGTAGAATGTTCCTTGTGACCTCCCACCCAAATCTGACCTTCTTCACCCAGCCCCCCCCGCCCCGGGACCAAGCAGACTGATCTTGTCCCCTTAGGACCTCCCTTCAATGCCTAGACACCTGTCACAGCCTCTCAGAATCTTCTAAACATCCCTGTTTCCTTCGCCAGAGGGGTGATCACCAGGCTTCTCACCATCCTGGGTGTCCTCCAAGGGGTGTTTTCCACCCTATCAGTGTCTCCCAGAATTGAATGCAATCTTCTAGCTGCAGTGTGATGAGGGCAGGGGACAGTGAGACAGTGGGACAGTGAGACTGTCACCCCCTTGCTCTTGGGAGCCACGCTTCCCTTAATGCAGTCTAAGGTTGATCTGGCTCTTTTTGGCTGCCAGACCTTGGGCAAGTCACTTAACTTCTGCCTACCTTAATCCACTGGAGAAGGAAATGGCAAACCACTCCGGGATCTTTGCCAAGCAAACCCCATGGACGGTATGGGGTCATGAAGAGTCGGACATGATTCAACAACAAATATTTTTTCAAAGTTCAAAGCCTCCAGGTTAAGAATCCCTGCTTTAGCCACACAGCCCTCATTTAGATTTGTAGGACCATGGCTGGAGCTGGAAGGGGCCTCCGGGGCTGTCACCTCCAACTGCCTCATTTTACAGAAGGGGAAACTGAGGCCCAGAGAGGAAAAGGGACTTTCCCTCTCCATAAAGCTCTTGGTTTCTTGAACCCACTTGTCAGATTTCCCATTGACCCCTCCTCAAGCTCATCACATCAGATCATGTGCAGAACATTCAAAGAAGAAAAAGGAAAGGGAAGAAGATTAATCTGGTCACTGGGTACTTGCAAGGCAGGCTTGCCACTGTTCCCGAGATTCACTGCCAGCCCGGGCTGTATCAATTCCTGCAGGGGGCTTGTAAACCAGACACACCTGCACACACACAAACACACATGCATACATAGTATGTACACACAATACATATACATACTACACAACACACATGCACACAAATACATACAGTTACACATACATATACCCACTTAGATGTACATACACACCAATATGGGCATATACATGTATACACATACACATTCTGTGATGTTGGGGGACCCAACTTGGCTGGGGGAGGCAGCTGAGGGTCACGAGGCAGCACGCACTGTCTCCAGTATGGAGGCCGGGTTAGGCTGGGATGTTTCATGGAGGCTCACCAGTGATGCCCCCGGATCCGAGCTGGGACTCCTTCCCTGCAGGCAGCCAGATGGGAGCTTTCTTGTTTCTGCAGACAGCCCAGCAGTCTGGCAGTCTTGGAGAGGTCCTTGGCAAAACTGTCCCTGGAGGAATTCCCAGGAAAAGGGGATCACCCCCCTTGTCCCCCAGTGTCTTAGTTCTACTGGAGGCGCTGTAGAGGGCAAGGATGGGGAGGGGAGAGAGGGGTGGGGTGCCTCTTCAGGACTCCGGGATTATTTGGGAAAGTCTATGAGAGAGAAGTACAAATGCATTTTTAAAACAATTAGACCAGAGGATGGAAGCAGACTTCCAAAAGGGGCATTCTTGGGATCTCTCTGTTTCTGCATGAGTGTCTTTCTGCTCCTTCCCTAACTGTGACTCTTTGTTTCTCCAAGAGGATGTGGAAATGGTGGACAGAGGCTTCATATGAAGCCTGGTGATTCTGCCCAGGTAGGGCCAGGGCAGCATGGGCAGACAGTATTCCAGGCAAGGATGCCATAGCTCCTACATCCTGTACAGAACTCAGGACAAACACTGTCCCTGATCTGGGAGGAAACAGGTTCCTTCTTTCTTTTCCAATCCTAGGCCAGGGTGGGGAGGGCTACTGACCCCTTGGAAAAACAGCTGGGGTCTTACTCCCTTCTTTTTTGCCCTCCAGCCCTCCCCTCCAGTCCCTTTCATCTCCCCATGCCTCTGCTCGGGGATGGGAGCTAAGTGCCACAGTCTGGAGCCTGGAAGGGCCCTGGAGACCCTCTGATGTTGCCCAGGCATTTTGTAGGTGAGGGAACAGAGACCCAGAGAAGGGCCTGAGACAGCTTAGGCCTCCACATCTCCCCTCCAGCCCAGGGCCTCCACTTGAGACTGGATCTGTTTACACAGTCAAGAATTTGGGGGTTTTTAAACATTATTATTCTTTCTGCTGTTGACTCACATCCTTGTTTTTCTCACGTTTCAGTGTTTACTTTTAGACAATTAGAACAGGGCGGATGGGCGACTCTTCCCGAGGCACCCAGGAAGTCACAGCGTCTCCAGAGCCAGGGGTAAGAACCAGGATTCTCTTAAGGAGTCTCTTGTTACCTAATTGTGGGCTGGGGAGGTCAGCAAAGTTGGGAATGAGGGGGCTCCAGCAGCCCTTCCAATTCTGTCCTGCCCACGCCCCTCTCCACAGGACCAACGTTCCCCACGGGACACCAGAGCTGAAGCTCCAGGACCTCAGAGGCCTTGTTCAACAGGTAGGGTGACTGAGGCTTGGGAAAGATAAGTGATGTGCCTAAGGTCGCTTGAGTGGCCACTGTGGGCCCTGGGCTTACACTGTGGCCCCCTGGCGCCAAGCCCAGGTCTCTTTGGAGGCTTTTCCTACATTCCCCACAGGATGCTAATGCCCGGGGCTCAGCCTCCATCCCTCCCCCAGCCAGCAGGGTCTCCCTGATCGCAACACAGCCACCCAGTGCTCCAAACCCTCGTCCTCTCCTCTCAGACCTTAGCTGTCATCTCCTCTCCTCCTCACCGATTCCTGTCTCTCTCTTCTCTGCTGGGACATCAAGCTGTGGCACTGCCCTGCTCAGGAAGCCCAAGTGACTTCCTGTTGCCTCCGGGGTCAAGGAGAAGGGGACTGTTCTTTAGTAGGTGCCTTCTAGAGATCTGGTTAGCCTGAGAGCTTACCAGTGGGAAGGGGGCTCCCTCAGACGGTGGAGATCAAAGCCCACCCAGACCTTTCCATCCAGTGTCCTCCCCACTCTCCTCTGGAGCTCCATCCATACTTCCTGTGACTCTCCTGCCATTTTGTGGGGACCAATGGAGCACATGAGCCTGGGAAGCTTTTGTCTCCTGCGACATGAGCAGCCCAACTACATTTCCCATCAGACAGTTCTCTGCTGACGTCCTTCCCAGCACGTGCCCTGGACAGCTCTCTTTGTTGGCGATCTGATAATGCTTGCTCATTCGTGCCCTCCGTATGTCTGTTCTCCAGTGGCCTTTGGGTGGCCCACAACTTGCATTGTCCGCAGGCAATGGCGCACCTCATTTATGTCTTCGCATGCCCAGCAACTAGCGTAGTATCCTGTGCACAGCAGGTGCTTAATAAATGCTTGTTGGATTTTGTTGAATGGAACCAGTTTGAAAGGCAACATGGCAAAGCACAGTGCTAGACTTGGAGTCAGGAAACCCTGGATTCAAATCCTGCCTCAGATACATACTAGTTGTGTGACCCTGGGCAAGCCATCGGCCCTCTCTGGGTTTGTGTTTCTTCCTGTGTGAAAGGAGAGTGTTGGACTTAGTGACCTCTCGGGTCCCTTCCAACTCCTGTAATTTCTGCTCTACTGATAGGCATTTCAAATGCCAGGACAGGTCCAAGGGGGTGACTGCCACTTGGCATTAGAATGGAAGCCCCCACTCTCCAAGAAGGGAAGAGAGGAGGAGGGCTACCAGGGAAAACCGAGGTGTTGGGAAAACGAAGATGCCTTTGTCAACTTCCCCAGGCCATTCAGGGCCTGGTACATAGTAGGAGCTTAATAAGTACCAGGTGGCCTGACTGAGGGCTGGTTGGCAGACCTGGCCCGATGTGCCCTGGGCAGCTCAGTGGTCAGGTCTATGCGGGGCTCCCCACTCCCTCTCCTTTCTGTCCCCCGTTCTGGGCTCCCTCCACCCTGCTGCGGGAGTAGACATCCTGGGAACACGGGCCTCACTCCACGCCCCTCCTTTGCTGCCACTCCCCGGCACCCACCCCCTGGCGTCCACGCCCCTCCCCCGGCACCCACCCCCCAGCAGCCACCCCCGGCAGCCTGCCTGCCATTTCCCAGGTCGCGGCCAGAGCCGGCTCTCCTTTCCCAGAGTCGGAGGGGCTGGGTTGTGTGTTACCACTTTGGGCATTTCAATGGCCCTGGGGCTGGGGGCGGGGGAGCGCCCCTCCGCCTGTTATGATGGTTATTAATAATTCCTGGTCCCACAATGTCCTTTCACAGGCTCGCTCTAAGTCTCTCCACAACAAGTTTGTAAAAGTGACAGGGCGGCTCAGATGTAGGCGGCTCGGCCCGGCCCACAATGGACATTCTTGGCCACATGAAAGCGGGCCAGCCCTCACTTGCCTGTCCCCTCGCAGATGCCTCCTGCAGCCCACAATGGGCTCGCACTTGAACCCCCGCCATTCAGCGCCGGCTCTCTTTATCCCGGCGGCCGCAAAGCTCAATTCTCTTGACCCTTCAGTGCGGTCGGATATTGTCACCTAATCCCCCCTTTTCCCCCTTCTGTCCCATGTGTGGTTTTGACTTCTTTCTCTTCTCAATTCCTTTTTCCTCTTCCCTTTTTCTTTCTTTGGCATCCTCTAAGCCGCTCCCCAGGGTCCACATTCCAGAATTTGTCCTTGTATTGGAGGCGGCTGTACAATGAAGTCCCAGTGTTCGAGGATTAGGCCTGGAGGAGGCTGGGACGGCACTCTGCTGCTTTCCGGGGGCCCTGGGGGCCGCGGGGATGGACATACAGGAACGGAGAAGAACAGGGCCCAGAAAGGATGGAGGGCGGCTGGCTGGCCGCCTCGTTGGAGGGGAGAGGCTCGAGGGGCAGGGCAGAGAAGGGGGGGGCAGTGGCAGGGCTGTGAGGGACTCCGTCATCAGCCCCCCCGGAGGATGTTGGGGCTCGGGGCTGTCGGTGGGGCATCCAACAAAGGCTGTCAGGGAGCCCAAGTCACCTGAGCGTCACAAGAAAGAAAGAGGGAGTGATGGGCTTAAGAGACCCGACTGGTCCAGGGTGGGCAGGGGGCTGGAGGGACGTGCACCTTGGAAGCAGCTGCAACGCCATGCTAGCCTGATGGGATCTCCGGAAAGAAGAGCCACAAACTCCCAGAATGTCCAGGCCAGAAGGGACCTCAGAATCTACGTCATCTGATCAAGCCTCCCTTTTTAAATATCACCGAAGAGTGGCTGTCCAGGCTCTGCTTGGAGCCCACCAGGGATGGGGAGCTCACCACCTCTGAGGCAGTCCATTCCACTTTGGGGCAGCTCTATACATCTGCCTCTCTGTAGCACCTGCTCATTGCTCCTGCTTCTGTCCCCCCTTCTTCCCTCCCTCAGGCCCCTCAAACCTCCTGCTCCAGAGAAGGGTTCTCTTAGCCCTGCCAACCCAGATGTTGGGAATGGGATCTCCAGAGGGCCCTTAGCCTTGGGAGTCACCTGGCCATGCAGGTTAGATTTCAGTCTATGGTATATTTGAATCAAATGGGTTTTGCCATTTACCCCCCAAAAAGCTCTAAGGAGTTTGGAGAGGCAGGATGCAGCGATGCAAGAGCTGTGTCCTTGGAATCAGGAGGGAGCAGGGCTGCCATCCCACCCTGACATTTACTGGTTTGTGCCTCATTCGCTGGGTCCCTCTGACTCAGTTATTCATATTTTATTGAGGATGATCCAGGAAGACCTGGGTTCAAATCCTGGTCTGACACCTCCCACTTGTGTGGCCGGGGCCAGATAGCTTACCCTATCGATGCCCAGGCCACTTTCAAAGACTATAAGTAGCAGGACAAGCATTGGATCTTAACTGGTAGAGAGAACTTTATCCTCTTTTCACTGGGAGTTCTCTTTACCAATGAAATCCCAGGTTCAAATAATTGCTTGATTGAAATCAACATGTATGTACTCGCATACATACATGTGTACACACACGACATGCACACACCCCCAGACACACACATGCACACACCCCCGAAACACACACACACACACACACACACACACACACACACACATACATCTACTTCCCAGAGCTGTAAGGAGGAGCTCAGAGAACTATAGAAATGTCAGCTATTATGACATTCAGCTAACTCACATTGACACAGCACATTCAGCAAAGTGAGCTTGCTCAGGGTCACAGATCTAGGGAGAATCAAAGCTGACATTTGAACGCAGGTCTTTGGACACCCAAATCCAGAGCCCTTCTGCTACCCCAGCCTGCTGTTGGCCCAGAAAAGAAAGCTCCCTTCTAAATGCACTAGAGAACGGATAGTCCTTGCTGGGTGGCCCCTACAGCTTAGGAAGCAAGGACATTGATAAGGGGTGTGTGTGTGTGTGTGAGTGTGTGTGTGTGTGTGTATGTGTGTGGGGGGCGGGTCTAGAATCTCAGACTAGAGGGGTGGAAGGTGCCCAAGAGTCTTCTGGGCTAACCCAGACCTGAGAAAGAGAGTTTCCAGGATGGGGAAGGTCCTTGGAGTCACACCTAAGAGGAGTCCATGACTCCTCATCATTAAAATGAGCGTAATGATAGCACCCACTTCCCTGGGGTTTTGTGAGAATCACATGAGATAATGAGGCACTTTGAAAAATTGAAGGCACTATGGAAATGCTTTGTCTTATTATAATTGTGGCTAACCTGCCAAATAGTAAGGCTGCGGAAGGGTAGAATCCAAGAATCCCAGACTTTAAGAGTAGGCAGGTACCTCAAGGGCATCTGTTCCAACCCATATAACAAGAAGTAATATATAGCAATTTAATATTTGCATTAAATTACAGCATTTTGCATGTTTTATCTCCCTTGACCCTTATGAGGTCAGTGCTATGATTACCCCTATTTTACAAATGAGGAAACTGAGGCTGAGAAAGGTGACATGATTGCATGAGGTCACACAGCTAGGAAAGATCTCAGGTGGGTCTTCTTGTCTCCAGGTCCATAGCATTCTCTAGATTGACCGAGTTTTAAGGGCTCTAAGGCTTCTAAGAGGTGGAATCCTAGCACATTCAGCCATAGGAGACAGGGCAAAGGTCTGGAGAGGAGAGATGGTTGTGTACAATAGCAAGCATTTCTATATAACACTTAAGGAACGTAAGATGGTTTGGTTAGATGATAGCTCATGTATAGATGGAATGGCTCTTCTCGTATGCCCAGCACTTAGCACAATGCCTGGAATACAGGAGGCACTTAATAAATGTCAGTTGCTTGATTAAGGCGGAATAATGTGCCACAAGGCTGGAGAGAATGGAATTGCCAGGGTGTGAAGGGCTTTAAATGCCAAGAAGAATTTCTATTTGTCCCTCTGAGAGATAAGCAGCAGGGCTTCCTAAGCAGAAGGTGACATGGTCAGGCAGATCATTGACAGCTGCTGGAGTGGAGAGAGACTTGAGGCGGGGTGACCACCCAGCAGCTATTGTCACAGTCCAGGTGGGAGATGATGAGGGTGGCAGTCTTGTCAGAGGAGAGAAAAGAGTAGCTGTGGAGGTAGAAATAGCAAAAATTGGCAACTAAGTGGATATTTGGGGTTCATGAGATGAGTTGCTCAAGGAAGACCTCAGGGTGTAAATCTGGGTGGCTAGAAGAATGGTGGCACCTGGTTATACAAACAGGGAAGTTAGGAAGGTGGTAAGTATGAGTAAATGGGTTCTCTCTTCCTACCGCCATTACCCTCTTGGCTGCCATAAGGCACCAAGGATGCATGGAGTTCACCAGAACTCCAAGACCTTTCTCAAATCACCTGCTATGTGGCCATGCCACCCCAATCTTGTTCTGGGCAACTGATTTCTTGAACCCAAGAACAAAATTTTTCATTTAGCCCTATTAAATTTCTTGTTATTTAATTCAGTTCAATACCTTCGCCCATCAAGACCTTTACTAACCTTGACTGCGCCATACAGAGTGTTGGCCAATGCTTCCCAGCTTTGAGTCATCTTTGGATCTGGTAGGCATGCTGTCTATGCCTTGATCCCAGTCACCTGTAAAAATGTTAAACAGTACAGTGCCAGAAAGATTGATCCCTGGGGTACTCCACTGGAGACCCCTTTCTGCCTTGGCATACGACCATTAATGACTCCCTTTTTCTCCTGTTTCTGAGATTGCAATTCACAGATTTACATGTTTCTGGTCTTTGCCTTGTAGGTTGGAAGACTGGCAGATCGTAGGTGAGGTTCTCTGCATTTCAACTGTTGATACTGAATCCCATCCCTGGTGGGCTCCTGAGTCCTCAGGCAACAACAATTATCAGCCTAGACCATAGCTGCCCAATGATGTCTAGTTGCAAGGTTCTGCAGCAATAGGGTAGCTAAGCCTTGTTCTTGGGGCAGGGGGTAATGAAAAACAAAGGTGGGAGGGCTGTGTTTTCTCAGGGCACAGAAAATGTGCAAGTATCCTCCAGACTTGTCTCCTAACATGGAAGCAGTGAGCTCATCCCTTCTCAGAATAATAATAATAATGATGACAAAAGTCACCACAAGGCCTTGCATCCAAATTGCACTTTCTACTTTCTCCAGGGCTTCCTCCCCTAACCCTGGTGGTCTGTTTACGGGTATGTTGCCTTGGAAACAGAGGCAAATAGTGGAGATGAAGAATGAGTCCCAGATGAGGGCCCAAAGAGGGGAGTCCTGGGGAACCAGCTGGAGCATCCCCCAGCAGATGGGAATCTTTATTTTCTCCACATAAGAGACACAGGCAAACCATTTGGTGTTATTGAAGATCCCAACCACAAACAGGATTTCTAAAAAAATGAAAAATAAAATCAACATGTCCAACTTTTCACTATTTCAGCTTTTCCTGAAGTAGTTGCTGGCGGTCAATGAGTCAGCAGGAATGTTAGTGGAGTCGGACGTGGATAGGTGACGGGTGGCCAGCTGCAGCTTGAGCTGATGGCCTCCAGAGGCAGCCAGCGGCCAAGTCTTTGAGCGCCGTACATTAGAAAGGCTAACCACGCTCTCTTCTCTTGTTGGAACCAAGACACTGCTCCCTCAGCCGCAGGGCGAGGCTCCAAGGCCACTAGAAGGCCCACATTGAGAACTGCTTTCAGGAATGCCTGTCTGTGTTTGGGCCCGTGCTCTGACCTCAGCCCCAGCAGCTGCAGGAGCTTGAGGTGTCCCCCAATTTGTAAGCTGTTAGGAAGTGGTCCAGTACCAATCTCTGCTTGAGGAACTCCAAGCACAGGGAAACCACCAACGTCCCAGAAAGGCCCTTCCACATTTGGGCAGCATCAATTGTTAGAATATTCTTTCCTGATCGTAAGCTGATGTTTTCCTTCTAACTCCAGGCTCCTGGTTCTGCTCCATGGGGCCAGGAAGAACAAACCAAATCTCTCTTCTGCAGGACAGTCTTTGACATACTTCAAGACAATCGTCACATCCTAAAGCAACCCAAAAATACCTTGCCAGGCTTGGGAATGGGGCTGAATCTAGGAAGACAAAACTCAAAAGGGACAAATGTAAAGTCTGAAGCTGGGGTCCAAAAATTTAACCTCGCAAGTTCCAGATGGCGGAGGTGCAGTTAGTATCTGAAATGGGGCTGGGGCTCTTAGTGGATTGGAAGCTCGAGATGAACGTGCAGTGGTATCTGGTCACCCAAACAATGAATAATTATATGATAAGCAGTAACTTTGTGTCAGGCACTGCTGCAAGCACTTTACAATTATATTATCTCATTTGATCCTCACAACAACCTTGGGAGACAGGCGCTATTGTCATTCCCATTTTACAGATGAGGAAACTGAAGCAAACAGGGGTTAACTGACTTGCCCGGAGTCACACAGCTAATGAGACTAGATTCGAAAACAGGTCTTGCTGACCCCAGGCCTCACGCTCTGTGCACTATGGCGCCACCTAGCTGCAGTTTAAGAGATGAGCGTCTACCTCCCTCCTTTCAGTGGGGTGGAGGAGGGGAGGTTACAGGGGTGTAAATAAGCATATAATGTCAAACATGGTCCTGGTGTTGGTTCATTTTGCCAAACAGTATTTTCCCCTCTCTCCGTTTAGTCTTTATTAGAAGGGCGAGCTCACTGAGTGGGGAAGGTGGCAGGATTTATTTAGGTGACATGAAAGCAGAAAATATCAATAAAACCCAAAACTTAAAACTGGTTTTCAAAAGAAAGGCATGACTCACAAGTCTAGTGAGAGGACAGTTGCTCTGCTGTCTGTCCAGGTCAGGCTGCATCTAGAGTGGCCGGTTCTAGGTGCTACAGTTTGGCAAGAACATTGATGTGGTGGTGGTGGTGGGGGGGGTGTCTGGAGGATGGCAGCCAGGTTAGTGAAGGGTCTGGAGTCCTTGTCACAGACACATCAGTCGAAGGGGATGGGGAGACTTAGACAGCAGAAAGGGGCGGCTAGGTGATGTGGCGGCTGGAGTCAGGAAGACCTGCGTTCAAATCTGGCCTCAGACGTTTACTAGCAGTGTGACTCTGGGCAAGTCACTTAACCCCATGGCCTTAAAAAAAAAAAGAGCCCTATTTCCAAGGCAACTGGTGGCCCAGTGGATAGAGCACTGGGCCAGAAGTCAGGAAGCCCTGAGTTCAAATTCAGCCTCAGACTCTTACTGGCTCTGTGGCCCTGGGCAAGTCACTTAACCTTTGTTTGCCTCAGTTCTCTCAAATGTAAAATGGGGATCATAGTAGGGTTGTTGTGAGGATCCAAAGAGATAATATTTGTAAAAAGCACCTCCCACAGTGCCTGGCACATAGTAGGTACTTTATAAATGCTCATTCCCTTCCTCTACCCCCTTGACCCCAAAGGGAAGAACTACGAGCAAAGGGAGGAATTCGTAGAGATGAAATCTTGGGGAACATTTTTCTAACGATGAAAGCTATCACAAAGGGGCTCAGTCTTCTAGGAGGTCTTCAGGCAGGGACTGGGCAGCCATTTGTTTAGCGCATTATAGGGGATTTTGACTTATATGGCCAATGAGATATGTACTGGCTCTCAGATTCTGGGATTTGGGATTTCCCCTTAAGTCTTCTCCAGGTTAACCATTCCTAGTTCTTTTTTGGTATCGAAATATATTATATTCTGGCCCTCTTTCAGATCTGATTCTAAGTACAGTTGTCAGAGCAATCAATGCCCGTGGAAGGGGTCGCAGGGACATGTGCGTCCAGGGGACAGGGGCATTGGGTGAACCATTGTGCGGTAGAACCAGAAGACATCCACGGTGTAAATCACGTGGGCCAACCCAGCCCAGAATATCTCCATCAGTCTTCCTCAGACAATAATCATGAAAATGGAATAAAAGTCCTTTAACAAGTACAAAAAACTGTCGTGGGCTGGTTTCCACTTTGACAACAGTTGTAAGTTAACTGGATAACTCAAGAACTGGTGCAGGCTTTTGAATCCAGTACTATAGATGGGCTCACAGAATTAGACCCAAAGGATTTGTAACATAAAAATTCAACCTTTACAACGACAATGTCAGAGTTGGGAGAGGAAAAAAATTCCTTCTGTATTCGAGGATTATCGAGCCACAGAATACAGCTTTTCAAAAAAGGAAAGAAAAATAAAGAAATGGGGGCAGATAGGTGGTGCAGTAGATAGAGCTCCGGCTTTGGAGTCAGGAGGACCTGAGTTCAGATCTGGCCTCAGACACTTGACATTAAATAGCCGTGTGACCCTGGGCAAGTCACTTAACCCCCATTGCCTCGCCAAAAAGCAAAAAAAAGAAAAAAGAAAAAGAAAAAGAAAGAAAGGGATAAGTGCACTGGACTAGATAGAAGATGCAGAATGTTTTCCTGAACTTATCCACAACTTCCAAAAAACATTATGAAATAGCTTACTAGGAAAAAAGGCATGCCCTAAGGTTGAGCCCCGCATCACCATCTTAAACTGAGAAGCAGAAACAGAAGGTGATACGTCCCCAGACTACCAATTAAAGATGCTCTATTTCTAAATCAGTGCGTGAAAAGAAAAAACAACAACATAATTTGAACTTCTCCTCACTTAAAAAATTCTCTTCTCTACCTTTAACCAGATTTGTGTTGAAGAAAAAAAACTCTCGGTACTGAATGGCGCTACTTCAGAGCCGTCACTGGAAGTAAAGGTCATTTCTAACTCCCTTCCCCACCTGTCACCCCTTTTGACCCAAGAAAAAGCTTCCAGGGTCTCTTGCTGATTTGCTGCTCCTCCCCAAAATGGGCATTTGCTGCCATGCCACAATGTTGGTCTGCCCAAAAGACGTTTCCCTGGGAACTTTCAGACATGACCTATTAGTGGTGTGCACGTGTCTGTCACCTGAGCACTGTCTGCAACACGCTAGAGCGGAACGTAGGACACGCAGAGAGAGATGACATGCCCTGAGCTGAGGATCCTAACTGTGTAAATGGCACTGAGCAGTAGTTGAGACATTGTTTCTGCCGGCTAGAGAAAGCCCCTTTTCCCAATTCTGCCCACCTCGTCTCTATGTAAGTCCCCAGAATTCCTCTGCAGAGCCCTGGACACATGGCGCCCTTCAGGTCTGTCTACTCTATAATTATGCCCTCAACCAAACCATTCTAGCTAAGCAAAGCTAGCTCCTTAAAAGCAGTCATCCCTCATCAAATAATCTATTATGACATTAAGCAGGGAAAGGAAAAATGGAGTCCTTTAAGTCAAGTGGAATCAGCACAAACCATTGGCCTTGCTCTGAAAGTTTGTACACGTCAAACGGTGAGACGCTTTCCTGCACTTCTGCATCTGGTGAATCCTGCATTGGACACCATCATTAAGGGAGGAGCTTTTAGTGTTTGTATGAGAGGTGTCGTCCTAAATCACGTCTAACACCAGAGCACTACTCGCCACGACTGGATTGTCAATAATAACCGAGGACATCTGCCCAAGCTGCCTGCCCCCAGAGCACTTCTCCTCCAAATGGCTCCCTGGCAAGGGGGGCGTCTCATGTCATAGCTCTGAAAGACCAGACCCCAGAGATCCCCTAGTTCAAGGACATACAGCATTCTCTGCGGCATCCCACCTGCGTTCAGGAGAGCTAAAATGATGACCCCACCCACCAGGCAATGGGAAAACACAAGGCTGTAAATGTGGCCCAGCCAGGGACAGAGCAGTTGTAAGGCCTAGTCCAAGGGGTAAGCATTTCACCCCCTTGTGACTGTTCATCCGAGCTCTGACCTTCTGTGGTAACAAATGCAACTTCACCTATCAGAAAAGAATTCCTCCTGTGTCAATGGAGAGCAAGACCTTTGGGTATTAAGAACTGAAAAAAAAAAAAGATTAAAAATTAATTTTTTAAAAAAAGGAATATTTTATAAAAAGTCACATGAAAGGTATCCCTCATTACACCTCACTCGAGTTGGGCCCTGGGAAGTTTTCCGTCTTGCCCACCCCTAGTTCCGGCTCTGCAGGACTCCTCCTTTTTGGCCACATGGACATCTCCTCTCTGAGATTCAGGTGTTTCTTTAGAAGAGTCAGAATTTTTAAAGTGGAAGCGTCCTACCAACATTTCTGCCCCCGCAGTAGTGGGCGTTCAGCTCAGACCTCCCCAAAGGAGAGCCCTCCGCCTCCTGAACCGTTCCATCCCACTCCTGCACAACTTTCAGGTTTGGGTCTGAGAATTCCGTGTGACCTACACTGGGGCTGCTCGGCAATGCCCTGGTCTCTGGCCTCGCTCCCTCCTCCCCAGCCAGGGTGGCTGGCTTGGCGGCAGGACATTCCACAAATGCCTCTTCTGCACCGTCAGGCTACAGCTCCCTGCACTGGCTGGCAGGCTACCTTCTTACACATGTATAA